TCCAAGTGCAGCAGGAACACTGATAGATGTCTTATTTTGCTTTCGTGTTTCATCCAGACGAATGATGCTTACTTCTTGTTGTTGCATTATTCCTGAATGGCAGCTAGAACGATATTCTGATCTCTTCATAGGTACCTCTTCAAATTTCTTGAATGAAATGTTGACGCAAGAAAGGTTACTCTCAGTTTATCTTTATACCTGAGCCAAGGTCTACCAACATTTGTATGACCACTATATATATATATATATATATATATATATATATATATATATATATATATATATATATTCAAACATATATTGTTAAATATAAGAGATAACGAATGTCAATTATGATTTGATCATGAGCCGTTCTAAGTTTCGTATAGTGGCTTTAGTTTCAGGAAATATAAAAACAAACACTGTCCAACATTTGGATATTTTTATTATGCTGTTCCTGGATCTAAGCTTTCGGCTCACATGAGCCATCATCAGAATTATGGTTATATGGACATTACAACAGAAATGTTCACCATCAAAAATGACATTGTGTTATGTATACATTGAAGTTTGCTATACGACGATAACGGCCGCGGAATAGCAGACGCAGGTCATAAATTCGTAATGTGGTTCTATGACGTAACACGTGTGAAGGTGAGAGAAAGTAATATCTTCATCAGAACCACTGGTTTAAATGAATTGTAATATGTTGCGACTGATTTGAAATGTAATTTTGTTGAATGTGGATTTCTTTGTTTTAATGTAGATGTCCTCCAATACCTTAAGGTTCTTTTTACTGTGTGTATGTGTGAGTATCAATTTACATGCCCGTTCAGAGATTGTATCTCTGATACTATTAATAAACGCACTACATATATTGGTTTTTACTACAACCACACTCTCCCGTAGACTTACCTGTCACCTTTCTGATCTTAGTTCTATTAAACAACATTTCTTAGAATAACATAGCCATGTACATAATATTAGATAGATATTAGTTGATAGCACAGCAATACTCACACATACACGCAGTAAAATGAACCTTAACCATTTATATTAAAACAAAGCGTCCTATACTTAACTCAGTTACAGTTCAAACTAGTAACAGCATTTTCTTCTTTTATGTGCCACGTCCATTCAGGACGTAGGCGATCATGGCTCTCCACTTCCTCCTATTACTTCTAGTTCAACAATATTTACGAACAAAATATGAGTCCAGTTAAGTGGCTGAATAGTTGGTTTTTCCCTTAAACTGGTTATAATCAAATTAGAATCTGGTTATAATGTAATTTCTATAAGGATACTTATTTGATTGTAACCAGCTGCAATTCTTTTTTAGAATCTAATTTATTAGGATGAAGATGCATTGGAATTGCTATGATCTACGAATCCGAGACGATTACTAAACGACCGGACTATTTCAGCCCATGCTTAGGTTTTATAAACTTAATACTAACACAATCTGGGATACATAAACCTTAAAAATAAAACATAAACATCGAATAAAAATCTCATTACTGTAACGATACGAAATTTCAACCTCGCCCTGTTATTGAAGCTGACTTTCAAGTTAATTCTGTTGAACAATCTTCTTATTAAAATACTTCTTAATTACGTTCAAGGATATATTCGCCATATAACTTTTAACATTTCTACTGCTCTCTGGGACGTTGGACCATATCACATTCGTTTTTCTTCTTCACCTGTCTTTTTGTAATTTTATTATTATTATCATTATGATATTTATGTTTGCTTTTAACTAAGGACCCTTCATATTTCCTTTTCTAAATATTTATTAATTTGATGAATTCTTGGCCAATATATATATATATATATATATATATATATATATATATATATATATATATATATATATATATAAAATCATTATATACAGGTGTCCATAAAGTCCGTGTATACTTTTATAACTTTATTTGTCTTTGAGATAGAAATAATTTGTAAAAAGTAAATCTATATTTTTCAAGGTTTTATTGAAATTTTATTTAAGTTTCCACATGTCCTCCATCATTAGCAATACAAAGGCTAATACGATTTTGCAGTTCACGGAAAACATTTGCCAACTGATTTACAGTAATGGCTGAAATCACATTAGTTATTTTAGCTATACTTAAAACTAAGTACAATAAACTTTATAACATTTTTTACAGATTATTTCTATCACAAATACAAATAAACTTATAAATTTTTTAAAGTGCACGCGAACTTTATGGACACCCTATATATATATATATATATATATATATATATATATATATATATATATTTATAAATATGTATATATATATATATATATATATATATATATATGCATTAAATATATATATATATATATATATATATATATATATATATATAATAAACATAAAACATTAGGCAGCATATGATTTACATACAAAGAATAATTCTATGTGTGATTATTCTTTTATGTAAATATATATATATATATATATATATATATATATATATATATATATATAATCCTTATATATACAATAGCGACCATAATATAAGGAACTGAAACAACAAAGACATAAATATGTGTATTACTTAAAAAGTAATGCATGATTAACAATGGCATTTTTACCGAATAAAGATTATGGTGTAATGCATAAATATTATGCAAAGTTACAAAAATTTACCTTAAAATTAGTTGGCCACGATTACTGACCCAAACATACCATAGTATTCCTCGCACCAAAACATCACATTCTTACTTAGTAATTTTACTACAGCCACCACAATACCTCATAGTCTCTATGTAGTCCTAAGTAGTTCCCATATGTACAATTTGTCTGGTGGTGGTGAAGGGTAAATAAAAACATTTAAAAATGAGACCACAATGAATATTTACAATAAATTCTATCTATATACAAGAAACTAAACAAAACAGTATTAGTAATAAAATCCCCCACAATCCTTAATCCATAGCAGAAAGTTCATCCGAACAATTACCATCAGATTATTTATAGAAAAGGTACAGAGAAGCTACGTTACGGTGGTGGGAAAGGGAGTGAAACCGAGATGCCAGATCAGGAACTATAACATTACAGATTCTTTTTTTTTTAAATTTTATTACGTATCTCTAAATATATAGCAGGATCACCAGATCAGAATTAAATTATTAAGGAAATAAGATTTTTTAAAAATTCTCTTCATTTTTTATATGAAAACAACGTGAATCAATATAGTTTGGAACAGCTTTCACTTGTATTACGTTGACATTTTGGATTGGGTGAAGAATTTCATCAATTTCCTTAAGGGAGAAGAATTTCCATCCATTTTTCGAAATTTCCCTGTGCATACCATAGCCATTATCAACGGAACAATTCATGAGGAAAATGGCGATTTAACGCCATTTTCAATGCGGTTTTCAAATTCCTTTTACGTGCCGCCATTAAAATGTGAATTCTTGCGGATTTTGACAAAAGTTTGGCATTCCTTGGAGAACCGGGTGTGTATTTGGGGACAGGAAACGGAAAAGGGATTCGCTGGTAAAAAAATAAATAAATGTGACTTTCCACACCTCCCTCGCCCCCCTCCCCCTCTCTCTCTCTCTTTCTCTCTCTCTCTCTTTCTCTTTCTCACTCTCTTTAAATTCTTGTCGTTTTGGTCACTCGCAGAATGTCAAATTTCAGCTCAAGAACTGAGAAAACAATCTAATTCTTTCTTCCCCTTGAGGATGGGATTTCTCGTTTACGAAACTCGTCAAAACCCCAAACGAAGAAATGCTTAATGAATGAACGTGTTGGGTTAAAAACGAACGAAAATTAAATGTTCAACTATTCAACTCAGAATTCCACAGAAACAGTGTCTGCTTGATAGGGCGATAGGCAGTAAAAAATTAGATACCATTTCTCTGACATTCTGAGAAAGATAAATTAAAGTTTTAATTTTATTTTATTTGTAGTTTATTTTGATGGTATATTTCTTAATATTGAGTACTTTATGTTCTGTCTTATTAAATTCACTGCTCTCTCTCCTTGATAATGTGTGTTTTTTTACACATATTGTTTCATACTCAGTAACCCTGTGTCTCAGTGGCTTTATTACCTTGCATGGAGTGAAATGATAAAAAATAAATAAAATCTGTGGTGTACTGAATAAATTTGATTCCATTTGCAATTAACTAAAAAATTATTTTATCTAAATTTATTGGATGTTATTATTTACACTATTTACATTCTGACTATTGTCCTCATCTTGTCACAACGTTTCGACCGTTGTGCCCTACGGCTTTCCTCAAGTTATAAATATATTTTTATTTACATTATTCACATTCGCACTATTGTCCTCATCTTTGTTGTTGTTATCACAACATTTCGCACAAAAGTTAATCGGATCGATATACACCTGATGAAGTTCAGAGGACGCAATAGCCGAAACGTCGTGATAACAACAACAACAAAGATGAAGACAATAGTCTGTGTGTCAATACTATAATGAATTCATTTTGCTTATTCTTTTTCTATACTTCGGACCATTTTTCTGGCTTCCGTTGAAGATTTAAAGATATATTTTCTGATTACTTTCGCTTTTCAGAAAGCATTATCAGAGATTTTGCTGATAATGTGACTATATGTATGTACTGTGGTTTTGTGCGATATCAGTTTCATCTTTAAAAAATATCGTCTCTTTACACAAGACTTGTCAGATTGTATTGGCTTGTCGTTTTATTTATTTTTTATGAAATATATTTAGTATGTTTATTCTTAAATGCAAAAAAAAGGTTACTGATGTCAGACTGTTTATTTTTATGAACAATGCTTCTAGTATTTGTAAATGTGTTTTACACTGTGAGAGTGTATTTTTCTGTAAAAGCATTTGTCGGATTTCTTTTCGTGTTTTCTTGTGTTGGTTAACGATATGCACATTTAAATGAAATATTATCAGATAAAAAGCAAGTTAATCGGCGCAATAATGTAGTGGTTATGTAACCAATATATAGGTAGGTCGAAATTTTGATATTAAAGAGACATACTTCAATAATGAACAAAAATCCTATGCAAGGAACATTTCATTTGTCTTTAACCACATCGAAAACTATCTGTTTATATCTATCTATCTATCTATCTATCTATCTATCTATCTATCTATCTATCTATCTATCTATCTCAATCTGTTCATATCTATCTATCTATCTATCTATCTATCTATCTATCTATCTCAATCTTTTCATATCTATCTCGCCTGTTTATTATCTCAGTCTGTTTATATATATCTATCTGAATCTGTTCATATCTAACGATCTCAGTTAATTCATATACATATATCTTTCTTAGTCTGTTCATATATATCCATCTAAGTCTGTTCATACATATCCATCTATTTCAGTCTGTTCATATCTATCGATCTATTTCAGTTTGTTCATTATCTATCTATCTATCTATCTATCTATCTATCTATATCTATCTATCTATCTATGTTTTTAATCTCCCCCTCTCTCCCTTCGCGTCTGTTCATATCTATCTATCTATCTATCTATCTATCTATCTATCTATCTATCTATCTATCTATCTGTTTTAAATACCTCTTTCTATTTCTCTCTTTCCGTGTGTTAATCTCTCTCTCTCTCTCTATCTATCTCTTCGCGTCTGTTCATCTATCTATCTATCTATCTATCTATCTATCTATCTATCTATCTATCTATCTATCTATCTATCTATGTTTTAATTACCTCTTTCTATTTCTCTCTTTTCGTCTGTTAATCCCCCTCTCTCTCTTCGCGTCTATTCATATCTATCTATCTATCTATCTATCTATCTATCTATCTATCTATCTATCTGTCCTTTGTTTCTCTTTTTCCTCTTTTAATAACTGTATTCTTTGTAGTATTGTGTTTACATTCCTTTTATTATCTTTCCATTTCGTTTCTGTTCCGTTTACATTCTGACTTATTATGTTTACATTCTTTTATTCGCAAATTCCACGTCGCTTTTTTCTCTTCTTTTCGCACATTGAAATCCATCACAATTCCACTTTTTACAATCAACTCTCATTTTCATATTTCATTTTCCCCATTTATTCTCGCCTTTTTCATTTACTAAAAGCGCCCTCCCCCCATCAATACACTTCCCGCCACCAACCGAGCAATCTTCCTGTTTATTCGGTTATTTTCTTCGCTTCGTTCCGTTTTATTTATTTGTTCAGTTTGAAACATTTCAGTTGTTTTTTTTACCCGTTATTCTGTTGTATGCGTTTTAATTGTCTCTTTTGCTTTGTCATCATTCTGAATAGAAAACAGAAATAATTACGAACGCGCGCGTGCACACACACACACACACACACACACACACACACACACACACACACACACACACTTTCTTTTTTTTTATTATGTGCCACGTCCTTTCAGGACATAGGCGATCATGGCTCTCCATCTATCCCTTGCAGCTCTCAACAAGTTCCTTCCCTTTGCTTCCTTCCCCAGACCACGTTCTGTCATCCACTTGCTTAAGGCCGCCAGATATGTCACGCGTTGTTTTCCCTTGTCTCTCTTTCCCTCTATTCGACCTGTGAGTATCAGATTCTCTAGGCTCTACTTCCTCATTATACGTACCAGAAACTTCAGCTGCCTCATCCGGTGTTAAGTATAAGCCTCCAACTCGTTTGCAACCTCTGTAAGACCTCATCGTTTCTCACTCGCTCGGTCCATGATATCCTCAGTACCCATCTTTAGAAACACATCTCCGTCGCCTCGAGTCTCTTCTTCAGCTTTGGGGAAACCGTCCAACATTCGCTGCCGTAAAGAAGGGTAGATGACACGTAACCACTCAGTATGCTTGTCTTTGTTACCAAAGAAATCCTCCTATCTCGCAATACACTGCCCAGCTTTTGGTATGCGTCCTTGGCCGTTCAAATACGTCTACGGATCTCAGCGTCGCACTTATCGTCCTGTCAAGACGCTTCCCAGATATTTAAGCTTCTGCGTTTGCATGATTCTAGTATTCTCGACCTGCAAATCGCATTTCGGGATCATCCTTTTACTGATGGCCATGCATTCTGTTTTCTTTTAGTTTATGCTTAGTCCCTTCATCACACTCTTCTGTAGGAGATTTTGTAATTTCTTTTTTCTGTCTACTCTCAGTCCTGTGTAACCTGCGTATCTTATGTTGTTAAGATTGTGGGCGCCAATGCTAAATCCCACTAATTCTCTCAAAATTGCCTCGCTGTATAGGTTGGAAAGGTCGGGTGAGGACGAATCCTTGCCTTACGACCCTTTTCCTATATTCCCTGAACTCGTTCCCTATGCGTCTACATGCTGTTAGCTGCCAGTATAGGTTCTTGATTATACTGATATGCAGAGCCAAAACACACACACTTTGGTATATATAAATCTATACACCAAAGAGTACACAAGTGATCATATATATATATGTATGTATGTATATACTCGACTCTCCCGTCGAATTCGACGTATGAGGGTCAAGCAGATCAGCTCGTAGGAAACCGACAGCCCTACAACAGCACATGAGATTTAATTATAGTGGTGAAGGTTTCGTGCAGGACCATCCACACTTTTCGAAGGGCCGAATACAGAGACATGGTGCACTACGTGCCACAAGGTCCCCAAATTACCCTCCGCAGGTTTTGAATTCAGAGTTGTTCTTCTCCAAGACCAGTTGCCATCCAAGGCTATAGAACCCAGTCTATCCTGCTATTTTACCCATGGAGGGAGAAGAAGAAGAGGATTCACACCTTTCCCAAGGGTATTAGCACGTAAGAATTCGAACTCGGCTCTGCGATCCCTCAATCCAAGCCGCTATCCATTACTCCACCATGCCTCCTCATATATATATATTCGTCCCTCTCTCTCTCTCTCTCTCTCTCTCTCTCTCTATATATATATATATATATATATATATATATATATATATATATATATATATATATATATAGTATGCAGAAAATAGAAAAGAACACATTAGGTGCATAATCCGGAGTTCCTTAGTATTTTTGTTTTTATTTTTAAGAAGACAGTGCTCCATACATAAGTAGAACTTTATTATAATAATATTTTTTTTGTTTAAAATTTTGAAACAAAAATTATTTTAAAAAAAAAAAATTATTATTATTATTATTATTATTATTATTATATATATATATATATATATATATATATATATATATATATATATATATATATATATATCACAACAATGTTTTCTTTTTCTCATATTCACAGTAAGCCTTGCGTCTTAGTGGATTTATTTCCTTGCTGGGAGTGAAATGATTAACAAAATAACGAGGAAAAACAACGCCATAACTAAAATATATGCATACACGAAACAAACATGCACACACAGAGAAAGCACGACACACATACATACATATATATATAGTCATCTGCAAACAGCCTGTTTCGCTGTATCACAGTTCTTCAGTGTGTCTAAACATCCGACTGTTTCAAGCCGGGATCGGAACCCGACCGTTTTGGTATTAGTCAGAGATTTCACCCCTAGGCTATCGTCGAACGACAGAGATGAAGAAAATATTAACGTTTACTATGCGATATATTAGTGGCCGGAGAGCTCAAATCAATTCGGTTGAACAGCAATATATATATATATATATATATATATATATATATATATATATATATATACCGGTTGTAACAGTAAAATTGTCCAAATCGTCTAACGGCATAATTGTCCATCTCATAAAATGTTTAATATATAAAAAAAAAACACTAAACTAATTGAGTTTCTTTTTTCAAAGTTTTCAGATGAGATGTTTAGCCATCTTGACACCATTTGTCGTAAGAATAACTGAAAAACAGTTCGAGTTATTCAGCTAGAAAGAGAACAGGTTAAAATTGTTTTGTGTCAGCTCCACTGTCTTTCCATCTGAGCAATGGTGAAGTAAAAAAGATCATTCAGGACTTCAGTAATGGTACCAACGTACATGCTCTGGCTTCACAACAGGAAGAGGGATCATCATTTCAACTTAGAGCTAAAGAGATCAATTAGAAAAGATCCAACTCAATTCGTAAGAAGTTTGGCACTTCAGAGAGGAGTTTCATCTATGACAGTCCAAAAAGCAGTGAAAAAAGCCTTGAAAATGAAATCGTAAGTGAAAGCTTGTAGGTACCTTGTTACCCCAGGACAAAAAATTAGGAGCTTAGAGAGTGCAGAGATCATCTCGAATAAGTTAGAAAATGATCCTGGAATAATATATATATATATATATATATATTTGAACTTTATTAGAATCCTTCAAGAGCTCCCGTCCCTTAGCTATGATTAATTAATGATGAACATGTCATTTTCGTTTATGATCAATTTCATCACAACATCTCTGTTAATTTTGCAGAGTAATTATACATTCTTACTGCTCAATGTCCAATAATTTTATAAGAAACTCGGAGAAGTCCAATAATTTTTATATCTTTAATCATTTCTAAGGCATAACAGTTCAGAGCTTAATTTAACAATTAATATATATATATATATATATATATATATATATATATATATCACGTACAAGAATTATTTTAATGTTTACGTTGATGTCCGAGACAGGTTAACCATTTTAGTGAATACCTTGTTAGTAGCGCGTCTTGGTTTAACGTCCGGTAAATCCTAAATCAAAACCCAAATCATCGATGCCCAATAATTCACAGTAATTCGACTGGATAATTCCACAATCACTGCAGTCAGTAGCCTGACACCGCTATTTATACACCTGCCGGGAAACATATTCCTAAGACTGTAATATATATATATATATATATATATATATATATATATATATATATATATTTTTTATGCTTATACGTTCTTTTTATAGATACAAATATTCAAGTAAATGCCCAGTTTATAATAAATAGTATTAACAACATTTACCGGCCTGAATGTCCGAAAAATTTTCATAGAAAATATGCGTCCTCCGACAGGAATCGAACCTGTATCCTATACGGAACCGTCATATAGCCTGATTATAGTGCTTTTACCGATTGAGCCACAGAGGAGCGTTTCCGTTAGCAAGGTCGATTTTACTGTTTTTAAACTACAATTCTCCATGATTTTCTCTCATACATTTATATCTGGTCGATGCCTATCCAAATGTAGACAAATGACGTCACGCATTATGAAAGGGACAAAGTTCGACATTTTTAAGACATTTTTATGTTTATACTTTCATTTTAGAGATAATATAGAACTGAAGCCAATGTCTCTTAAACTCAAACTCAAACGATTACAGTTTGACGGGCACTGACACCGAACAGACAGGGAAATCCTCTCATCCTTACTCCTATAGCATTGTTCTTACTAAACAGACGCTTCCTCTGTAGCTAAACGGTATAGCACGTCAGGCTATATGAGGTTCCGTGTAAGATACAAGTTCGATTCCTGTACAAGGATACATATTTTCTTTGAAATTTCTCGGATATTCAGGCCGGTAAATGTTGTTAATACTGTTTATTAGAAACAAAGCATTTACTTAAATATTTGTATCTAATGTGTGCATATATATATATATATATATATATATATATATATATATATATATATATATATATATATATATCAATGTTATAAGTTAATATTGAAGTCAACACTTGGGGCGACAGTCTGTTTCATACTAGACGTAATCGTCGGCCTGACGATTGCATCTAGCATGAAACAACCTGTCACCCTCTACGATGACTTCAATATTCACTATATTTTACACGCTCTATCTCTGATATTGAGCACTTTATCCCATAAATATAGCACAACTTAAGACTATATTTCTTCATATATATATATATATATATATATATATATATATATATATATATATAGAGAGAGAGAGATTGATGGATGGATAGATAGATAGATATATAGATAGACAGAGAGAGAGAAATAGATAGAATGAAAGAATCGACGCTTCTTTTTCTATGTGCCGTGTGCTCTTTATGATGTGGGAGATTATGGTTCTCCACAGCTTCCTAACCTTTGTACACCTTAGAACTAGTAAAAAAAATAAGAATTTCTAGAAGTAACAATAAAAGATGGTATCACAGTACTAATGAGGTAGAAATATGGAAAAAGGTTTCTTTAAAAGAGAAAATTCAGTGGAAATCCAGTTTGTGTTCATTCTTTTCGTGGTGACCTTCATCCGAAGCGGCTGCCGATAAAACCGAAGACCCTATTTCTCTTATCCCCCTACATTTTGATTACTTCCTTCGTTCTGCACGCCCCCCCACATCAAACCCTTGTGCTGCCTCGTCCCTAATTTGCTTCATGTCTAACTCTGATCCTTACATATGTTAGATTATGTCCATCATCGCCAGAGGCAAGAGAAAACTCAGTGAGCCCAACATTTGTTTTTACCCAGTGCCCTGCCAAAGCCTCAAAGAGATTTAATGAAACAAGCACACAGCTAACAAGCTCGGCTCGATAGTTGAGACCTGAAAGAAGTGGCAAGTTTAAGTGGGCATCTTGCCAGTGTCACGTTTTTTTTAACTTTTTGGCATCTGCTCTCCCTAGTTCTCTGTCGGTCTAATTATATCCTTCGCATCTATCTATCTATCTATCTATCTATCTATCTATCTATCTATCTATCTATCTATCTATCTATCCAATATCTCTTTGTTTGTTTGTTTCTATCTATCTATCTATCTATCTATCTATCTATCTATCTATCTATCTTTCTTTCTATCTATCTCTTTGTTTCTATCTATCTATCTATCTGCGTTTCTATCTATCTATCTATATATCTATCTATCTATCTATCTATCCAATATCTCTTTGTTTGTTTGTTTCTATCTATCTATCTATCTATCTATCTATCTATCTATCTATCTATCTATCTCTTTGTTTCTATCTATCTATCTCCTTGCGTTTCTATCTATCTATCTATCTATCTATCTATCTATCTATCTATCTATCTATCTATCTATCTATCTATCTCTTTCCTTGTTTTTTATCTATCTATCTATCTATCTATCTATCTATCTATCTATCTATCTATCTATCTCTTTGCTTGTTTCTATCTATCTATCTATCTATCTATCTATCTATCTATCTATCTATCTATCTATCTATCTATTTCTTTGTGTTTCTATCTATCTATCTATCTATCTATCTATCTATCTATCTATCTATCTATCTGCCGCGTCTTCATCTGGCTTGTATTGTAGAGGTTCAGGCTGACTCAAAGGTTAACAGGTGCATATAGCTGAACCCGCTGAGTTCATTTCTTTAATTCTTAGTTCCTTTGGAGTAGAAGAATCCTTTATTTATTTGTATCTCTCTTTTTTTTTTTTATCTATTTCTTGTTAGATATCTGAAGTAAACATCTCGTCACTGGTATGCCAAAAAGGTTAATGAGAACGCGAGGAGGTGCTACAGAGTTTTATCAAGTCACTCTCACCTTAAGTTTATCAGCTGTTGCAGTTAAAATTTGTTGCCCAGTTGGTTAACTTCGACAGATTCAAATCAATTCGAATTTTGACTGTTTCTTTATATATCAACCTCAGTCTCACTATTAATGTCGATTACCACCCCCCTCATAGTTCAGTAAACAATTCAATCAATAATATATCAATCAATAATATATCCATCAATCAAAAATAATTATTCATAATTTATATAATAATTATAATAATGAATATAATAATTATAATAATTTATAATTATTTATATTTATATAATAATTATACATACATACATACATACATACATATATATATATATATATATATATATATATATATATATATATATATATATAAGTGGATTTAAATTCAGAAATAGCCATATAAAATCGACATTCACTTCACATCACTGACATTTTAATCACGTGATGTTGAATCGTTCACTCACGTGACAAAGGATAAATTCAAAAATGAAAAAGAAAGCCTCATATGTAAAACAGGGGCACAATGGTATGTCAATCAGTTATGTGCCATGCGTGATACACGCTTAGGCGATCATCTATCTTTCGATACATGACTGACGAGACAGATTTTTTTTCCTGCAGTAGGTTGCCATTTCTTTCTGCGGTAGACCAGTTGCCATCCAAGGATATAGAACCCGGTCTGTTCTTGCTATTTACCCATAGCTGGAGTGGGGAATAAGAGAATTCATACCTTTTCCAAGGATATTAGCATGGAAATAAATGTAATCCTTATGAGAGGATTTTATTCTTGACCAGTCGGAATCAGGAAATGCTTAATAAGTAAGACATGATCTGTGGACAGGTCCACACATTTTGGGTTTGAAACGGAAATTAATGCTTTAATTAGAGAAAAAATATTTTAAAATATTTGGCACACATTGTCGAAACCACACGAATAAACAAAGACACACAGAGTCGTACACGCATAAATACAAATACACACATACATACATACATTTTTCAATCACCCGCTTTCAATAATCAAACAGATATCAACATCGATTAACCGCAGGCTTTCTGACAATTCTTCCAATGAAACGATATTTAACGAAGCTAAGAAGAATACGAAATAGCCCTAAAAGACAGTGGATGCCCAACAACACTCACATACTCACCACAGAGCACAAAAAAGGGCAAAAGGAAGAGAAATATCATATGGTTCAACTCATCGTACAGCAAAAACGTAAATACAAACGTAGGTAAATATATTCTTATATATATATATATATATATATATATATATATATGAACAAACAAAACCAGTACACTCAAACCCTGGGTCAGGATGACTTGTGACTTCTTGCTAGCACAGTTCGAATTCAAGGACCTGTCTATCAATTTCCCCACTCAACCCGTGGTATGGTTTTTAGGCACTTTCCAAAAGGTACCCCACGTTGAGATCGCCCCTCCAGACCGATAACACCAGGAACAAACACAGATGTGCCTGAGCAAGAGTCTGCAACAGGGATAGGCTAACCGCCTTAGTAGACGGGAATTCTCGAATACGAATGGCCGGCGAATATATATATATATATATATATATATATATATATATATATATATATATATATATATATATATATATATATATATATATATATATATATATATATATATATATATATATATATATATATATATATATATATATGATGGTAATGGATAGCGGCTCGGATTGAGGAATCGGAGAGCCAAGTTCAATTCAGTCGCATTCATTACATTCACTTAGGTGAATACACTTGGGAAATGTATGTATGGGTAAATAGCAGGACATACTGGTTTCTTCTTTTGACTTGGATGACAACTTGTCTAGGAGAAGGACAACTCTGAATTCAAAAACCTGTGGACGTATTCGACTCTTCAAAAAGTGTGGTTGGTTCTGCATAATGCCTTCGCCGCTATAATCAAAACATATCTGTCTGTTCCTATTAGGAACTGCATTGCTTGACCCTCATACATAGCAAAAACAACGCGAGAGTCAAGTTCATATATATATATATATATATATATATATATATATATATATGTAAAAGTGAATATTGGAGTCAAAAGTGAATATTGGCGCCCACCTTGGGATGGTCGTCGCCGTCAGCGTCTGTTACAAAGAATGCTACGCCGAAGGGCGGAGTCTCCTTCGGGGAGGTAGACCGGCCCTGAAACCGTTTATACGGGTTCAATGGGCATATTTTTGGGCGAGCCCACGGCTCGGAATGCCCACGTTAAAAAGGCCTTGTGCCACATGACAACCTCGTGGTGGGGTGATTGAATATCGTCAGCGGCTGTTACATTAAAAAAAAATGTAGTATAGAACTCTAACTGTTGCTAAATAAACAGTCGGGTCTCTACATATACAACTTTTGTTTTTATTGTCTATTTTCGTTTTCTTTTTGTCAAGTGCCGGATTTTGATGCAACACCCTGTAGATGGACTGGCTTAACAGGGGACGGAAAGTGTGATACTGAAATCTGAAAGCACATTCGAATAGCGAAAGATGTCATCTAAAAAGCTAAGCAAAAGATTATGAAATAGGAAAATATTAGAGATATGTGCTTAACTGTAATGTAATATAAATGCTCCAATATGGCAGTGTATACTGGTGACTGATGAAGAAGAGACATGGGGCTATAGAGATGTGGTTTTAAAGAAGGATGCTGATGATCCAATGCACTGAATATCAGAAGAACAAGGAAAGTTTAAGAACAATGGGAACAAGAAGGACACATATAATCAGACATTTTTATTAATGAAGAAAGAAGGCTTGGAGAATTTGACACTCACAGGATATATTGATGGCAAGATTGATTAATTAGTTTTCGACGGCTTATTAATGCTTTGAAAATTATTTAAAGCTAGAAAATATTTTTAGATTGTAAGAATTTTTTTTATTTTTTGAGATAATGATTCAATGATACAAATTTTACTAATTAACCCATTGCTTTATGAAGAGGTAGACATAAAATTTCCAAGCTTATTGGCGCGCAAGTGATTATAAAAAAACAGATTGAAGTTTGTTTCCTTACCTCTAAGCTTTGTTTTATTCAGTTTTATATTTGCGTATCATTTTTCTTTCTTTCTTTGTCCTCATCTGTTTTCTTTCTTTCTTTTACTTGCTTATCATCTTTTTTTCTTTCTTTCATTCTTTCTTCTGAATTTCTTTTTTAACATCTACTTTCTTTCTTTCTTTCTCTTTTTTCTTTCTTTGCTTTTCATCTGCTTTCTTTCTATCATCCTTTCTTTGCTTCAGAATTTCTTTGTTTTTTAACATTTACTTTCTTTTTCTTTCTTTCTTTTCTTTCTTTTTTCTTTCTTTCTTTCTTTTCTTTTTTTCTTTCTTTCTTTTTCTTTCTTTCTTTCTTTCTTTGCTTTTCATCTGCTTTCTTTCTATCATCCTTTCTTTGCTTCAGAATTTCTTAATTTTTAAAATTTACTTTCTTTTTCTTTCTTTCTTTTCTTTCTTTTTTCTTTCTTTCTTTTCTTTCTTTCTTTTCTTTCTTTTCTTTCTTTCTTTCTTTCTTTCTTTGCTTTTTTTCTATCATCCTTTCTTTCTTCAGAATTTCTTTTTTTTTAAAATTTCTTTCTTTTCTTTCTTTCTTTTCTTTCTTTTTTTTCTTTCTTTCTTTTTTTCTTTCTTTTTCTTTCTTTCTCTTTCTTTCATCCTTTCTTTGCTTCAAATTTCTTTGTTTTTAAAATTTCTTTCTTTTTTTTTCTTTTTCCTTTCTTTTTTTCTTTCTTTCTTTCTTTCTTTGCTTTTCATCTGCTTCCTTTTTTTCTTTCTTTCTTTTTCTTTGTTTTTTTAACGTTTCTTTTTTTTCTTTCTTTCTTTCTTTTTCTTTTTTTCTTTCTTTTTTTCTTTCTTTTCTTTTCTTTTTTCTTTCTTTCTTTGCTTTTCATCTGCTTTCTTTCTATCATCCTTTCTTTGCTTCAGAATTTCTTTGTTTTTTAAAATTTACTCTTTTTTTTCTTTTTTTTTTCTTTCTTTTTCTTTCTTTTTTCTTTCTTTCTTTTCTTTCTTTCTTTTTTTTCTTTCTTTTTTCATTTCTTTCTTTCTATCATCCTTTCTTTGCTTTAAATTTCTTTTTTTTCTTTCTTTTTTCTTTCTTTTTTTTCTTTCTTCTTTCTTTCTTTCTTTCTTTTCTTTTCTTTCTTTTCTTTCTTTCTTTTTCTTTCTTTTCTTTCTTTTTGCTTTTCATCTGCTTTTCTTTTTCCTTTTTTCTTTCTTTCTTTTTTTTCGTTTTTTTTTTTTTCTTTTTTCTTTCTTTCTTTTTTTTTTCTTTTCTTTCTTTTCTTTTCTTTCTTTCTTTTCTTTCTTTGCTTTTCATCTGCTTTCTTTCTATCATCCTTTCTTTGCTTTCAAATTTCTTTGTTTTTAACGTTTATTTTCTTTTTCTTTCTTTCTTTTCTTTTTCTTTTTTTTTCTTTCTTTCTTTTTCTTTCTTTCTTTTCTTTCTTTCTTTCTTTCTTTCTTTCTTTTCCTTTTCATCTGCTTTCTTTCTATCATCCTTTCTTTGCTTCAGAATTTCTTTTTTTTTAAGGTTTTTTTTTTCTTTTTCTTTCTTTCTTTTTTTCTTTCTTTCTTTTTCTTTTCTTTTTTCTTTTCTTTCTTTTTCTTTCTTTCTTTCTTTTTTCTTTCTTTCTTTCATCCTTTTTTTTCAAAATTTCTTTTTTTTTTTTAACTTTCTTTCTTTTTCTTTTTTCTTTCTTTCTTCCTTTCTTTTTTTCTTTTTCTTTCTTTCTTTCTTTTTGCTTTTCATTTTATCTTTCTTTTTTCTTTCTTTCTTTGTTTTTTTTCGTTTTTCTTTTTTTCTTTCTTTTCTTTTTTTTCTTTTTCTTTCTTTCTTTCTTTTCTTTCTTTCTTTTCTTTCTTTCTTTCTTTCTTTGCTTTTCATCTGCTTTCTTTCTATCATCCTTTCTTTGCTTCAGAATTTCTTTGTTTTTTAACGTTTACTTTCTTTTTCTTTCTTTCTTTTCTTTCTTTTTTCTTTCTTTCTTTCTTTTCTTTCTTTTCTTTCTTTCTTTTCTTTCTTTCTTTCTTTCTTTGCTTTACATCTGCTTTCTTTCTATCATCCTTTCTTTGCTTCAGAATTTCTTTGTTTTTTAAAATTTACTTTCTTTTTCTTTCTTTCTTTTCTTTCTTTTTTCTTTCTTTTTTTCTTTCTTTCTTTCTTTCTTTCTTTCTTTCTTTGCGTTTCATATGCTTTCTTTGTATCATTCTTTCTTTGTTTTTGAATTTCTTTTTTAACATCTACTTTCTTTTTTCTTTCTTTCTTTCTTTACTTTGCATCTGCTTTCTTTCTATCTTTCTTTCTTTCGATCTTTCTTTGCTTCTGAATTTCTATCTTTTTTAACATCTAAATTGTTTCTATTTTTCTGTCTTTCTCTTTTTCCTTTCTTTTTTAACATTAACTTTCGTTCTTTTTTCTTTCTTTCTTTCTTTCTTTTTTCTTTCTTTCTTTGCTTCTGAATTTCTTTCTTTTTTAACATCTACTTTCTTTCTTTGCTTTTCATCTGCTTTCTTCTTCTTTCTTTTTTCTACTTTATTTCTTTTATCTTTCTTTCATTCTTTCTTTTTATTTCTTTCTTTGCTTTTTATCTGCTTTCTTTCTTTCTTTTCCTTTTGAATTTCTTTTTTTCTTTGCGTATCATTTGCTTGCTTTCTTTCTTCCGCTCTTTCTCATATATAACATTTATCACAACGAGGAATTCGGCACGCGTGCGCAATACCTATCTGCTTTGAAAGCTTCCGGTCGACCAACCGTTTTCATCGCGACATAAAGGTAAAGAAGATCTCCTCAATTACTGGCAGCTAACCCGTGGAAATGTGAAATGAAGTCGAAATAAGTTAGAGGTCAGCTTCATCTCCCTTACATCCCGTTTATGCATTTCTGAGTCGAAACTTTGGTTCAAATTATCGGAAATGGATTGCACAACTGTCTTCCAAGTTCCACACATTATGCAGCTACTGGGAATGACGTCACTGACAGACTAACGCTGTTATCTACTTCCGTTTTCGTTCAATCACGGAAAATCGGGGTTAAAGCAAAGAAAAGAAGAGACATATACATAAATAAAATACTCATGCTGGAAAAAACATGGTGGAATCTGATACGTACAGAAAGAGAGAAAGAAAAGATTAAGAGTGAAATAAAGAAATGTAATAAAGAATACGGAAGAATGAAAGAAAGCAGACGATAAGTACAGAAGTAGACAAAGAAGAAAATAAGAAGAACGTTTAGGAAGAATTAAAAAAAAATGAGGTGAGAAAAATAGTTTACTTGGTTGACGTGAAAACAAATGAAGCTGATATGATAAGGGGAGGCAATCTTTACTATGCATAAACCTTAACCCTAATTTTACCCTATAAAGATAATGATAAATAATTACTTCATTAAAAAACATAAGAAAAGCAACAGAAAAAAGTATTCTAAAGCGCTACTCACATATTTTTCGCTTTTGAGAGATATATCTATGCTAAAGCCAACCATAGTTGTCTCCCTTTCGAAATACTCAACTATAAAAGAAATGGTCGGACCTCATTTTATTACAAGCTTAAACGTTTATCTGCTTTTCTTTACACTACCATGAAGGGCCATTTAAATATTTAGGAAGGGTTTGAAAAGGCGACACCTAAATGCAAAGGCAATTTGGGATAGCGAAAGAAGCCTTCTCAAAGCAAAGCAAAGTAATAAGAAACAAGAAAATTTCGTTGGAAAAAAAGAAAATAGTAGTGAATCGTTATGTAATATCGGTTCTCTTACATGGTGGTGAATGCTGGCCAATCACCTCGCAGATGAAGAAGAGACTTGAGGTAGCAGAAATATGGTTCTACAGAAGGATGTTGGGCATATCATAGACTGAAAATGTGAGCAGCGAAGAAGTTTTAGAGAAAATGGAAATAAATATAGAATTCATACTTAATATCGTGAAGAGAGGGTTGAAATTTCTATGGCACATAATGAGAAAAGAGGGCTTGGAAAATTTGACACTCACATGGCATATTGAAGGCAAGAGGTGGGAAGAAGCATCGTATAACATACCTAGAGAGCTTGTGTAAATGAAGGATAACAAAAAGACTAAAAATATTAAGAGCTATAGATGATAGGAAATTGTGGAGAGCCATGATCGCCAGCTTTCTGACAGGACGCGGCATGCATGTAACGAAAAAGTTTTAAGGACAATGGAAACAAATAAGTACGTATACTTAGAATTATAAAGATATAGCTGAAATTTCAGCAACACATAATGAGGAAGGATGGCTTGGAGAATTTGACACTCACAAGATATATTGAAGGCAACAGACAGAGAAAAATAGTGAATACCATACCCAATTAATTTGTGTAAATAGTTGGAAGAACATGTAATAGGAGAGATAGCAAAAAGACAAACCTAAGAGCTACAAAAGCCAGGAAGTTGTTGAGAGTCATGATCATAGCCAGCGTTCCGAAGGGACACAGCGCACAGAAGAATCATGAAAGGCGACGTAGCAATTATTGGTGCAGAAAGTTCAACCCACAAGTAGAGTTCAAATTCTCCGCAAATCCTATTCGTTTACTTAACTTTATGATGTAATGGAATAACCTGGCACCCCCATGAGTGGCGGCACTATAGGCGTTAACCGACTATAAGTATCCGTTAGGACAGCCGACAGCATATCTCGCTAGAATCTGTTAATCAGATCTCGGACGCTGTCGAAATCTCTGACTTTGGGCAGAGAGGAACCCGGACGAGGCTATGACGAACGAGGCTATCCCCGAACCCGTTTATGCAGGGTTACGGGGAATATTTGGTCAAGTCTACGGGCTCGGATTGCCCCACATTAATCACGACTTTGTGCCACACCCTTCTTTGTCAGGAGGCAGGTAAATACCGTTGAGTTGGGATCTGTTATTCAGATCTTGTATTCTTTGGGCAGAGAGGAACCCGGGCGAGGCTATGCCGAAGCGCAGAGTCTTGTACGAGAAGGTAGGCAGACCCGAAACCGTTTATGCGGGGTTACGGTGAATTTTTGTTCGAGTCTCCGGGCTCGGATTGCCCCACTTTAAACTCGGCCTTGTACCACATCCTTCCTTGTTGGGAGGCAGGTAAATAGCGCCGAGCTGGGTTCTGCGAGAATTAAGCGGCCTTCCGAAAGCAGCATGCACACAACTGTACTGACTTGCGACGACCGTGCTCATAACTATTACTTCCTTGCTTGTTGTACTGGTTTCTACAATAAACTTGTTATTATTTATCCACCTTGTGTGTCCATTCCATATTCCTATGAGCACGGAATATAACACTTTAAAAAATAACCTGTTACAATCATTGTCAATCTCGACAGGAGCCCTTTTGTCATATTACATGTTTTAGGGCATAAATCAATTTGTGTCAGCAAAATCCAGAATTTAGGGAACTGTATGAATTAATTTCGTCTCATCTCCTACAGGTATAAGTTAGACTGCGTTCACTCGCCTAAGATAACTGCCAGATAATGAATATTCCGAGTTGAAAACTGTGCAGATTGCAACGAGAAACTACTGCAGCATCTTTCGCGTGTAATCATGGAAATTTTAAGATCATTACGGAAAGGAACTTATGGAGAGCCATAATCATATTTCTTTTTTTTTTTAAGTCATAAAGGTTTTCAGCGCCCATGAAACAGAATCCGAGATTCGAGATCGAATTTCGAATAAGACTACCCGTATTCCCTAAACAATCGTAGTCATTAGCGGAACGCGCTGATGAGTATTGGAGTGGCCATCCTGCATTTCCTACTGCATGAAATGAGTCCTATGTTGGATCTGAAGAGACGCCCACAGCCACCACATGGTAGGGTAAGAGGGGCGTCCAGGGGATGAAGAGCTTTGGTTTTACTTTGGCCTGTTTTTGTCTCTTCTATTTGCCTTCTGGGGTATTCGAAGGATATTTTATCGTGGACAGCTCTTTTCCAATTGGTTATTTTTGCAGCTTCCGTCTCCCAATTCACCGGATCGATTTCTGTCCTCAGGAAGGTATTTTTGGAGCTGATCCTTGAATCGACGATTTGGGACTTCACACGGTATCTTTCCAGATGCGAGCACCGACAAGGGGATTTGTTTGGGTAGGCGAATGGCTGGTACTCGGCCAAGGTTTTTGGTCCATCGAAGACAGAGGATGTTTTCAAGGCTTTCCATCTAATACCACTGAAAAAGATATGAATACATTTTCCCCTGCACTATGTCCCATCTACAGATATTTTCAGAAAAAATGTCTTGTCACTGACATGCTATGTTAATGCTTAAGCGAAAGAAAGGGCGACAAAGGACATTTAAGTGAATACATATCTGGGGGTGGCAAGTTATTCCATTACATCATAAAGTTAAGTAGCTGCTACAGTAGCAAATTTGATCCACACTGTGTGGCCTTTATGTGTGGGTTTTGTACAGTCGTAAGATAAATTTAACAGGTATTCATTGGCACTTAAGTAAAGGTATCTATCTGTTTTTCTTAGATGACGTATTATGTACACTATTTACATTATTCGGACTATTGTCCTCGTCTTTGTCGCCATATTTATTACAACGTTTCAGCCCTTCATTATCTGTCTATATTTCTGTGATAAGGTATTATATACATTATTTACATTATTCGGACTATTGTGCTCATCTTTGTCGCCATATTTATTACAACGTTTAGGCCTTTCAGTATATGTCTATATTTCTGAGCTGAGGTATTATGTACACTATTTACATTGCTCGGACTATTGTCCTCATCTTTGATGCCATATTTATTACAACGTTTCGGATGTTGTACACTCCGGCCTTCTTCAGGTGGCTGGAATGTCGAACTGAACCTTTTATTTCACTCACTGGGGTAGACTGTTCTAGTTCCACGTGCCATGTTTAATGGATGTCAGTTATCAGTTATCTCCAGTTAATTCCCCTCTCCAAGTACTCCACTGCCTTAACCGGGTATTGACCTCACGCTCTTTGGGTCCTATCACTGGATCTAACTAACGACTTTATCCACGACTTTATCCTTGAGGACTTGCTAAGTAAAGGTGTGTTGTAGAAAATGGTGGGGTCTTATTTATTAGTTGCTAGTGTATTCCGTGTGTCATGCACAATATGCCTCGAAGAAAACGGATGCAGCATTAAAAACGAAAACAAAATACAAAACAAAAAAAATAAATTAACAAATAAGAAAAACCAACAAAGGAAAGAAATAAAAAGGTGCTTCAGAAATAGATGTTGATAAACAAATATATGTTATGATGCTCGTTAAGTAAGGTGGTACTTTCAAGGACCTATTCGCATAAAATATATATATATATATATATATATATATATATATATATATATATATATATATATATATATGTGTGATGAAAATATAGAATTACATAGGGTAGAGTCATATTCGGCACGTGTTGTTTGAGCAGAACGTCTACAGTGCATATTTATGAACAAGGTTTCAGTTGCAAGCAACCATATGTGTTGAGAGGATATTGTAAATATTGCACGCGCTCAACATATGCGATGCAAAGTATAAAGTGTTGTTCATTCGAGATTTTCTTACTCGTTAAAAAAAAGGCGTCTACCATAGTCGGGATCATCGGGTCATTGCGAACGATCCTTCGCGAGGGTTACATACAGCTTTGAATTCAGAGCTTTTCTTCTTCTAGACCGGCTGCCACCCAAACGCAATAGACCCCAGTCTGTCCTACTATTGCGGGAAGGGAAGACCTAGATTCATATCTTTCGGGTGGGTATTAGCACGTTAAATAACGTAATTACCTTGACTGGAATTGGAACTCGAGCCTCCTAACATGTTTTAATTTAGGTTATTATCGTTGCGTTTTAGAGGAAGTACTTTCAGTATGATTATTTTATTACTAGATTTATTCCATCTTATTATTGTTGCGTTTTAGCGGAAGCAATTTCTGTGTAGTTATTTTATTACTAGATTTATTCCATCGTATTATTGTTGCGTTTTAGCGGAAGCATTATCAGTGTGATTATTTAATTACTAGATTTATTCAATCTTCTTATTGTTGCGTTTTAGCGGAAGAAATTTTAGCATGATTATTTTATAATTAGATTTATTCCATCTTATTTTTGTTAATGTTTTAGCGGAAGCATTTTCAACAATTTTTTTAAAAATAGATTTATTCCATCTTATTATTGTTGCGTTTTAGCGGAAACATTTTCAGCATGATTATTTTATTACTAGATTTATTCTATCTTCTTATTGTTGCGTTTTAGCGGAAGCATTTTCAATTTTAGTTTTTACCAATTTATTATTCTTACTTTTCAGATGCAGTATTTTCATGATTATTATTTTATGACTAAATTTATTCATCCTTATTATTGTGAATTTTCACGTTAAAATTCCAGGTCTATAAAATGCTTTTGGATGTAACTTTACTTTGGAAATGTTTTAAGATCCTTTAAAGAGACTATTGGTCCTTTCATGATTATCGCAGATGAAGCACTTTTTATATTCGATCTTGAAACGAATTCTGTCTATTTCTTGACAACAATATTAATTTCAAATTATGTCATTTTCTTTTTTTTTTTTTGCGAATTAATGTACGACTCATTACTCTTTAGTTTTGCAATTTGTTAAAAATAATATGAATTGTTAAAATTGACATCTTTAATTTTGCAACCATTTCCTGAAGTGATCGGCGAGAATTCTCTTCAGCTGACTCTTTGGAGTTGTGTCTTCAGCTGATTCTTTGGAGTTGTGTCTTCAGCTGATTCTTTGGTGTTGTGTCTTCAGCTGACTCTTTGGAATTGTGTCTTCAGCTGACTCTTTGGAATTGTGTCTTCAGCTGATTCTTTGGAGTTGTGTCTTCAGCTGACTCTTTGGAATTGTGTCTTCAGCTGACTCTTTGGAATTGTGTCTTCAGCTGACTCTTTGGAATTGTGTCTTCAGCTGATTCTTTGGAGTTGTCTTCTTGATTCTTTGGTGTTGTGTCTTCAGCTGACTCTTTGTGTCTTCAGCTGACTCTTTGGGTGTGTCTTCAGCTGACTCTTTGAATTGTGTCTTCAGCTGATTCTTTGGAGTTGTGTCTTCAGCTGATTCTTTGGATCTGCTTCTTCAGTTCTAGACTTCAGTAACCAACAACGTATTGCACGTTCATACCATCAGCCATGGCGTGATTATTATCACGAACAATCTGAAATTACTTGCTTGCTTAATTCGTTTATTACGGCTTATCAAACATTGCAGTTTATTAAAAGACAGAAAATATGTTTTAGCTTGTAAAAAATTTATTTGGAATTGATAATGGCTTTGCGATACAAGTCTTACTAATTAACCCATAGCTAGGGAGAAGAAGATTTTTTTTGATTGATTCGTTTTCTACGTTTTATCAATCCTTTGCAGGTTATTTAAAAGCCAGAAAATAATTTTAGATTTTAAGAATATTTTGAGATAATCATGGCTTAATACAGGTCTTATTAATTAACCCATAGATGGTGGAAGAAGATGTGGAAGTATAGCTTCCCGAAGGGTATTTGCGCGTAGAGGAATATAACGAACCCAACCGGAATTCGAACTCGGCTCTCCAATTAACAACTACGAGATATTAACCATTACACCACCCACACATCTAAGCTTACATTTTCCAAGCTGTCACTAATCTAGATACTGACCACACTCTATATTGCTTAACTTCGGTGATCGTACGGGAACGGGGGTTTCAACGGACCCTCTGAGAGGAATGGTGTCTAAGTATACATTCATTTAAGGAAATGACGCGTAACTCTTTCAAATTCTAGACTGTTAAGCAAGAAAATAATTATAAATCTAAGTTAACAATAGTTAATGTTATAAAATATATAAAGTAACTTGAGAAATATTGAATATAATTTATATTATAAGACGATTAATATGGTCAAAGTAAATCGGCCATGACAGACAGCGGGAACAACATTAAAGAGCGAGAATATATGACTCGTCATTGCTCTACGTCAAGTGTCCTACTTGCTGTTAAATGCATTGACGGGGAATTATACATGAACTCTACCCTCTTATTCACTCTTATTCTCTCTTATTCTCTCATTCTCTCTTATTCACTCTTATTCTCTCTTATTCATTCTTATTCTCTTCTCATTCTCTCTTATTCCCTTTTATTCTCTCTTAGTCTGTCTTATTCTCTTTAATTCACTCTTATTCTCTTATTCTCTCATTCTCTCTTATTCACTTATTCTCTCTTATTCTCTCTTATTCTCTCTTATTCACTCTTATTCTCTTATTCCCTCATTCTCTCTTATTCTCTTATTCTCTCTTATTCTCTCTTATTCTCTCTTATTCTCTGTATGAGGGGCAGTAGGTTGGTGTGTTTTTGTTGATGGTTGCAGATCTAATTTTAAGCAAGGGCAATGCAGTTTTAGAAGGCCGTAAGATCGGACTATTTCCATCAGTAATTACTAACTGAAGCATATAATAACAAACTTAGCATATCTTTGATGAGATTCTTTTCTCACAAACACACATATATATTTATGTGTGTGTGTCATAACTCTCTATATATATATATATATATATATATATATATATATATATATATATATATATATATATATATATATATTATCTTATATATATATATATTCCCTTTTATTAAAGTCTTAGTCTGTCTTATTATAATAAAAAAGCAAAACATTGAATCGTGGTTTCTCTCTTCGAACACTTATTATCTCTTATTCTCTAAGTTACTCTTATTTCCATAGCATTTTATTGTTATTAACCAAAAATTATTCTTAAGAACCATTTTCAATAATAAATTTCTGGACTCTTGATTAATTGCCTTGTCTTAATAGTTATTTATTCTGTATAGTGACTTTATTGCCACCATATATATATATATATATATATATATATATATATATATATATACGTGACTATTCTCTCTATCACTCGTCTCAGTCCATTTATTCTCTATCTATCTATTCTATCTATCTATCTATCTCATTCTATCTATCTAACTCAGTCCATTCATATCTATCTTTCTCAGTCAATTCACTCATCTATCTATCTATTCTCTATTATTATCTATCCATTCATATTCATCTATCTATCTATCTATCTTATCTATCTTCTCATTCTATCTATTCTTTATTCTATCTATCTATCTATCTCTTTAATTCATATCTATCTATCTCAGTCCATTCATATCTATCTATCTATCTATCTATTCTATCTTCTATTCTATCTCAGTCCATTCATATCTATCTATCTATCTATCTATCTATCTATCTATCTCAGTCCATTCATATCTATCTATCTATCTATCTATCTTATCTATCTATCTATCTATCTATCTATCATTTTGTTCATATGTTTATTCGTTTTTGTTACTTCCTAATATCTAGTTATTTCTCGTACATCTCTCAATTACATTTATTCTGTCACAGACTCTCTTATTCTCTTGGGTTTCGCTCTTATTCACTTATTCACTCATTCGCACACACATGCACACAAAAACTTAAACACACATTGCGCATTCTCTCTTATTCATTAAACTCCACACATTCTCCAAATACACACTTCACACTTAACGACACAAACACAAGTATAACATTAAATTAAGTGTAACATTCATTAATCGCGTGTGACCTTGGTCATAAAAATTGGGTTTCCATTAACTTTAAGATATAAGGATGACCATAATCTTTCAACTGCTGTGTATTTTTTTAAAAGTAGCAAGTGATGTTTTACTTAACCTACTAACCCCAACCCCAAAATTCATTCGTCCTGGGTAAGACGATCTTATTCCTTTATTCTCTCTCGAGCTGTCTTATTCTCTCTGTGATCAGGAGGTTTTGAGATTCGTGGAACCACCTCTTAATTGCTGGTGTTCCCAGGTCCATCAGACCTAGGGTGGTAGCACCTTTTAGGCTCCCAGCTATGGGCAAATAGTTAACTCGAAACTGCGGTCAAAACACTACTCTCTTATTAAAAATAGGTTTTAATTCTTATTCTTACATTCTGTAAATTCCTTTTATTCTCAATAAAGTCTTTTGAAGAAAAAAAAATGTTCTCAACGATATTACCAGAGATAGATTTTTGACAAAAGAAAAATATTACCATTCTTATATTTTTCAAAACAATATTACCAGCAATATGTCTTTTTGAAAAAAATATTACCAACAATATATTCTTTGGAAAAATTTTTTATCTCTCAATATATTTTCAAAAAAAAAAACTTATTACCATTCTCAATATATTTTGAAAAAATATTACCAACAATATATTTAAAAAAAAAAAAAAAACTAATACCAGCAATACACGTTTTAAAAATAATATTACCAGCTATACACTTTTAATCAAAAAATATTACCAGAAATTATTTTTGACAAAGCAAAATATTACCAGAAGGTTGGTGTTGTCGGCATTAAATAACCCATTGAGGTTGATATTAATAAAAAGCAAAACAAACCAAACCAATATTTCCATCTGAGATAGATAGATATAATAGATAGATAGCATATCAATGAATAGATATTAACAAAATTCAAAACAGACAGATAGACATGAAGAAACCAAGATGAATAGATAATAAAATAGCAAAACTGATATAGATAGATAAATAGTATAGATAGAGTTTGATTATAGATATTTATTAGATATAAAAGAACTCATTTCAAGAGACAGACAGACATGAAGATACCAAGACAGACAGACAGACAAACAGACAGATAGATAGATAGATAGAATAGATAGATAGATAGATATATAGATAGATAGATAAAAAAGTATTACAAGCAATAAAAATCTTGTCGGCATTAAATAGCACATTGAGGTTCATATGCCGTGAAACAAACTAAACCAAACCAATCCCGAAAATAGACCCGCTTACAGGGAATAACTATCTTCTGATAATCTTTATCTAGAACCAACTGGGTAAGCAGCTATCATGCTTTTCCCACTGATATTAGTGCAAAGTGAATGCAGACTGTCCCAACTGGGGTTTGAACCTATTTCGCTGGTCCCGTTTACTGTATGGTTAGCCGTTAGGTCAGTGGCGCCCTCACCTCCAATATTAACCGACTATCTATCTGTCTATCTATCTATCTATGTAATAACCACCTGTTATTGCTATCTATCTTTCTGTCTAGGCGATTCTAAATCTAAGCTGGACTATCTGACCGGCCGAGTTCAATCTTCATTGATTGCACCACGACTGTGTCATTATATCAAAACTGAGTCGAATAAAAAGATTAATACGCCGAGGATTATTGCCTATTTAGCAAACCGCCACTTCTGTAGGAAAATCGATCCTCATTGGGGACACCACTTCATCAGCCTTATGGTATACAACATTAGCTTAATAAACATGATTGCGACTGTAGTGAATTCAATCCTCACTAGGTAACCAAAATATGCGGATTTATGCTATATTAAGCGAAGTAAATATTATTACTGTAGTGAAATCGATCCTCATTGGGGCATTACACTAGTGGCATTATACCATACTAAAACTAATTTAGTAAACGTCATTGCTAATGTTATGAAATCGATCCTCACTAGGTGCCCAAAATATGTGGATTTGTGGGTGATGAAATATTTTCCACCCTACAGTCCCTTTCCCACAGTGGAAAAGTTTCAAGCCTCTCACATCCTCTATCGAGTGTTTTAACGAGGTATAAAGGTGAAGACTGGTGCAGCTAGGGTCCGCCGGCACACGTACACAGGAATGAATCATCCTCATCTCCCATCGTCTTCCATTAGTAAGAAAGAAGTTCCACTCTGACAACTTCTTCCCAAGAACTGCTGCTTTGTGGAACAGACTCCCGAGATGATGCTTCCCCAGTCACTACAATCTTGACCTTTGAACAAATTAAGATTGTAGCGATCGTAAAACATCCCTTCGGAAGTGTGAAATCGATTCACATTGGTGCCCTATATTAGCGGCCTCGTGCTATACTAACATTAGTTTAGTAAACACTATTGCAAATATCGTAAAACAGTTCGTGTAAAATCTATCCTCATTGGGTACCCTAAATTAGCGGCCTTGTGCCATACTAACATTAGTTTAGTAAACACCATTGCAACTATAGTAAAACAGATCCTCATTGGGTGGCTATACTTGTTCTATTTTAAATAAATATTACAACAGTAGTGAAATCTGTCCTCATTGGGTACCGTAAATTAGCGGCCTTGTGCCATAGTAACAATAGTTTAATTAATATCATTGCTACTATAGTGAAACTGATCCTCGCTGGATGCTTGTGCTTTTGTGTGTAAGTAATAAGTAAACATAACTACTGTAGTGAAATCTACCTTTACTGGATGTCAGCTCTCTGTTGAATCCCTTCAGAAAGTAACTGATCATGGCTCTCCACAATTTCCTGCCCCTTGTCTTTTTATCTCTCCTAAACCCTGTTCCGCCATCCATTTAGTCAATTCCATTAAGTAGTTTATGCGTTTTTCCTCTTTCTCCCTTGTCTTCACCCTGTCCTGTGAGTATCAATTTCTCTAAACCCTCTTTCTTCGTTATATGCCCTAAAAATTCAGCTGATCTTAAGTATATTTCCATTTGGTTTCCGTTTTCTCTAAAAACTTCGTTGTTGCTCGCATGTTCGGTCCATGGTATCCTCAGCATCTTTCTGTGGAACCACATTCCCGTGACCTTATATCATATTAATATATGTTTAGAAAGTATTACTGTTCCTGATTGGGCCCTCACTTGGTTTTTCTACTTTTGGGGCCTTGTGTCTTCCTCAGCAATGCTTTGCAAATTTTCATAACTTTATCGACCCTAAATTTCAAGTGTAAATAAATAGTGAAGGGGTAAAAAAAAAATGAACGCTGAAATAATTCCACAAGTCTATCTCTGATCTACAAGAATTTTAAGTGCCAATGTTTTTATTGTCTCGAAAATCGGCAAGAGGCACTCCTATTAGTAGGCAATAAGCAATGTGTTAACACTTCAAAAAGACAATCACTTTCTTTCTCTCGCTAGATTACATAAAATTTTGGAGAGTTCTAGTCATAAAAAAGGACCCCTTTTTTCAAACTACGAGGGTAGGTAAAAACAAACTGTCCGCACATTCGCCATAATATATCGTTAGGCATGCCGCACTGGATTCTGTTTATACGTGCTTATAGTTGGTTCTCTTATGGTCACGGGATCGAAGTTTGAGCTTGATCGCGCCACTTTGCTGGATGCTGTTACAGTGTAAACATGTCCGCTCCGTTAACAGTGTGCACCAAAGAGAAACAAATAGTAATGATCCGAATCTACAGAGAACAAGCTACCTCATCGATGATAACTCGCTGGTTGGCCATTACCATCTCCAGAACTTGCCGAATCTTCTCATCATTGGTGGAAGTTGATGGCCATCCTGCCCCTTCTCACTCGTCTCGCATTGTCCGGGCACTTTTAAAATTCTCCATTCACACATAGACACTTGTATGCGGTAGCGTAAATAATCGATATTTTTAAATAAATCAATAATCGATAAAGCCGACAAATCGATAAATTCAACTTTTTCCGGTGTGTAGGTTACTTACATCATTACAAACTCAACGATACCTCATTTTTATTTCTACGCCATTGCGTTTAGCGAAAAATGAAAAATCGATTTCAACCCAAATTGATTTCAACACAAATTTTAAACTAAAATCTCCCTCAATTTTCAAGCAATCTAATACGAATTTCACTCAATTGTAGCCAATAATAAGTTGATTGTTTAACAGTCATTTAACTTGATAATTGAGTCCACTCATATAGTGAAAATCCGCGTAAATAGCGAAAAATGGCGATTTTTACTGGTTTCTTTGTTATTTTTCTTTGATCTTTCAACCAATATTCAACAAACTCAACAATTGCTTTATAAATGTATCCTCTTTTACATCCTTGGTAGCACACTGACAAATTGAATTTCAAAAATTGCAAAATAATTGTGGTCTGAAGTGGGTCTTCATGTTGCCTGTTTTACCCCTTCATGTCCTCGGCTAACTTCGATTGAATAAATACAGACTACATTTATCAGTAACTGCATTAATTCAAAATGTTTTTAATGAAAGTACTTTAAAGTAATTGAAGAAAATAGACTCTGTTTCATGTAAATATGATGCTGTTTTTGCTTCATTCTAATTGAACGCTTTTTTTCGGATCGACCAGCTGGCTATGGCGGCTAGTAATACATAAATACATGCAGATGTTTTAGTGCTCTAGTGAGGCCGATTCTCGTTGGGTACACGATACATATAAATTTGTGTCTTACAAATCTCATCCTCCTTAAATGCCATATCACTTCAGACTTTAGGCGATTATGGCTTTCCACAGCTTTTTTTCTTTAAGTTTGGGACCACCCTGCATTTCTTTAAAAACATCTTAAAATGAGATATTTTTGCATTTTTTACAGTAAAAGATAGAATTTCAGTAACTGCAATGTATTTGTTTTTATTTTGACAAAAAATAATAAGCACTTAATTATAAAAAAGTATCATACAAAAGCGTCATATTTTGTTTCGTCAATAAAACCGCCATCTGCTTTAATTACTGTTTATACTTTGCATGCTTTCCAACATTTTTTGAGAAAAAATATATGGAAGACCTTCTCAAGCATTCTTTAAACACTGAAAAAGCTCACTCTCACGCTCTGGGTATTCTCTTCGAATTCTCCTATTCAATCCATCGCATTCTAATCAATGGGAGAGCTCAGGAGATTGATGCGGCCTAGTCATAATTTTTGCGCCTTTTTTGACTTGAGGTAATTTTGACGTAATTTAGAAGACTGTTTTGGATCATTGTCTTGTTGAAAGGTGAATTATTTTTTTCCTTGTTATGTGTAAACCAGATCGTATAAAATTCTTTTCAAAATGGAATTATATTGTTGTTTTTTCATGATTCCTTTGACCTGATTCAAATCACTAGCTTGTTTATTTTGTAATCTCAAAAAGTCTACTGAGGGGTTAATGATGAAAACAAAACATGTTTCTCAAACAAAATATCCATAAGTTACCAAATGTATTGTGGATATAGGAATCCAAATTGGAACTTTTTGGAGTTAGGGGAGCCTGGAGAAAGACTGAAAACTAAACGGAAATATACTGAAGGCTACAGAAATTTTATGTTTTACTTTAAAAAAATACAAAAATATCTCGTTTTAAGCTGTCTTAAGAACCAAAGAGGGGCCCAAAATATCTATCTATCTATCTATCTATCTATCTATATTATGAGACCGAATCGAATATAAATTCCAAAGTTCGTAACATTAATTTAAAAGAGGGCTCAATATAAAAGTAGAGCTGTATTCCTTATTTCAGGATAATTAAATCAACATTAGTATAAATACATAAATGCAATCATGTTTCGATGCAATCACATCTATCTATCTATATATATATATATATGTAAGCAAATGTAAATGGATATAGATCCGACAGAATGAAGAAAAATTTGGAAAAAACAAACAAAAATCCTTAAATGCAATTATATTTGTTTTAAAATGAATGAAATGTCGACGTCTGACGTTTCGGTTTAATAAACCTTCTTCAGGACAATATTCATTAAAATACAATTCAGTTCAATTTGACAAAGACGATGGACATAAAAAACAAGTCTTATCCAAAACAGATAACTGAAAATTTTAAAATGATCAGCTTTCCGTTTAGCATGGTCACGTTGTCGTCACATGGGCGACGCTTTCAAAACAATATTCCTAAAATTTTTGATTATTTTGAATGAAAAAGAAAATGAAAAGAATTCTATTAGGATCTAAAATTTTTATGTGTATGCTTGTCGAGCATTAATCTCGCTAAAAAAGGGGAAATATTAAAGAAACCAGGTCTAGTATTCACCGTGCGTGAGATAGATATTATACCTGCTTCATAAATCCTCCTGAGATTTTTATCTGTTTTGGATAAAACTTGTTTTTTATGTCCATCGTCTTTGTCAAATTGAACTGAATTGTATTTTAATGAATATTGTCCTGAAGAAGGTTTATTAAACCGAAACGTCAGACGTCGACATTTCATTCATTTTAAACAACATAATTGCATTTAAGGATTTTGTTGTTTTTTCCAAATTTTCTTCATATATATATATATATATATATATATATATATAAATGCAGGTATGCAGAAAATAGAAAAGAACACGTTGGGTGCATAATCCGGAGTTTCTTAGTATTTTTGTTTTTATTTTTAAGAAGACAGTGCTCCATACAGAAGTAGAGCTTTATTATAATATTTTTTTTGTTTAAAAATATGATTCCTTCGCTACATAAGTGTTCTCATGTTTCAAAAACGAGAGCCGAAATCATCCAAATAATTATTAAAATTAAGTTGAATTAAGGTGTTTAGTCCCGTTTCATCTTCAAGCGAAATTTTAGGAATAAGCTATCTCTTGGTGTTTTTAGGCACGGTCCGTTATAACATTCGTTATTGTGGGAGTGGCTAGAAAGAGAGAGAGAGAAAGAGAGAGAGCGAGAGCGATAGTTAGATAGATAGATCCAAAGAATACCTAAGATTTTAAAAACTATTTTTTAATGAATACCCTTCCTGGAGCTTTTATTTTCTTTTTAACAGATCAAATGTATTATTTCCACAAACTGTATTTCAAAATGAATTTAAATTGACTGGAATGAGTTGTTTTCTGTCAACACAATGTATTTTCTCCTTGTTAATTTTTTTTTAAATAACAGTTAAATTAGATTAATTACATTGTTCGAAATGCTGTCCTCATCTTTATTGTCATATTCACGATGTTTCAGCTCCAGATTTCTTCAGGTGATTGGAATTTTGAACTGAATTCTTTATTTCCACGCCTCTTCCGGATGTCACAATTGTCTCCCTTTAGCTCTACTCTCCATGTTTTTGTTGACCAATAGCCTGGTATTGAACTCTCCACTCTTTAACTCCCTGTAACACCCGTGCTTACTAGTGGCATTCCCGCCTTGCTTGGGATGAACCGATTCAAAACGAAGATAAATTCAATAAGTAAAAGTTGTAGCTGACAACGCAAAATATTAAAGTAAGAAAATTATTAAGAGTTCGGAAAATATCGTTAGAAACAAAGAAAAAAAATGCTAGACTGCTATGTAATATCTAATCATGTAAACGACAGTAAATGCTTAGACATTTAAGAAACTAAGCAAAGTATTATGGGATAGGAAAATTCCTTTGAAACAAAGAAAAGAGTACTGAACTGAAATGAAAAGGAGAGGATAAGAAGAATAGGATAGAAGAATAAGAATGAGGGGGAGTAGAAGACGACGAAGAAGAAGATAGGAAGGAAGGGAGAGGGAGGGAGAAGGCGTAGGCAGTGGGGAGAGGTAAATTCAAAAGAGAAGAAGAAGAAGAAACATATATGACTGAGTATTAACCAACCTTCCTACAGAGAATGACACGACCTGAACCGACAGAGATGTGGTTCTACCGGTGAATGCTGGGAATAAAACAGACATAGCGTATGAGCAACGAGGAAGTTTTAAGAGAAAATGAGAACTATTTAGTTTCAAAAAGAGTCAGCTTTAATATCTGGGAAACCTAACGAGGAAGGAGGGTTTAGCGAATCTAATACTCAAAGGATATACCAAAGGCAAGAGGAGTAGTGGGGAATAAGCGGGTAACCTATTTAACGAGTAGGTTACCTGCACGTTTGTTTGAATTCATATCAGAAGAAGGTCACAAAAAGATGGTAAAGAGTTAAAAGTTACTGAGAACAAAATACAGGAAGCAGTGGAGAGACATAATCATTCACATCTTAGATGGCACATAAAAGAAAAAAAGTATATTTGGGTATCTCAGCATGGAGTATTATTTAGGAAGAGGTCGCTGAGCATTAATATTGAAATAGGATCTACTTTTGTGCTGAACATATCGCCTTGTTCCAGACTTACCAAAGTTTAATAAATATTTTGAGCCTCGTTGGAAGATTCTATACTTGTGGCCTTGTTATTATCAAGAATCTTGCTAGTCGGTAAATTAGCAAAACGTAATTTTCCTATCTCTCAACAACATTTGATCTTGTGTCTTGCTAAACCGAATTTAAGAAAAATGAAATTCCTTTAGAATTAATGCAATCAGTGAAAAATGTTACAAATTAGATCGCAGCCGACAACATGGCTGTTCATTTACGTGATCTCGCGAGATCACGCGGAATCTCGCACGCGATATGTTACGTAATGGAATCATTCAGAGTTGATTATTCATTAAATCATTTTTCCACATCCGGCGTTTGCCGTCCAGATGCTTCCTTAATTTTGGCCTCCATTAATTCATCGTCCTTCCAACTCCTGCTTCACTGCCGTTGGCAGTTCTGTTGACATGTTCGTCTGGTTGCTGGGCCATTAACTTTATCTTCATGACCGTGGCACAAGACTGCGACGTCTGGGAAGGAAGAGAAGATAAAGAAAGAAAGAGAAAATACTAAAGCGAAGGAAATTGCAATCAATCAAAGGAGACAAAGAAAGTACCACTAAAGGAGAGAGAAAGACAAAAAGAAAATGGAAAAAAAAAAAAAGAAAGAAAGAAAGAAAAATTAAAGCATTGACGGAATTAATACAAAATAATAAATAAATAAATATAGAAAGAAAGAAAAAAAGAAAGAAAGAGAAAAATAAAAAAAGCCGGAAAGGAAGAAAAAAAGAGACATAAAAAAAAAGCAGGATTGAAGGAAAATACAAAGAAGGGACAGAGAAAAAGAAAAAGAAAGAAAATGGAAGGATTGAATACAAAGAAAGAAAGAAAGAATATGTAATGATTGGTTGAAAGAAAGAAAGAAAGAACGCAAGTAAGAAAGAAGGAAAATAAAGAAAATGAAAGATTTAAAGGATGACTACAAAGAAAGAAAAAAAAGAAGAAAGGAAGAAAGAAAAGACAGAAAGAAAGAAAGGAAGAAAGAAAGAAAGGAAGAAAGAAAGGAAGAAAGAAAGAAAGAAAGAAACTGAGAAAAATAGCATTCATGCAAAATATAAAGAAAGAACAAAAAGAAAGAAAACAGAAGGATTGAACACAAAAAAGAAAGGAAGGAAGGAAAGAAGGAAGGAAGAATGAAAAAAATAAAGAAAGAAAGAAAGAAAGAAAGGAAGAAAGAAAGAAAAAAGAAAAAGAAAGAAAGGAACAAAGAAACAAAGAAAGAAAATGAAAGGACTCGAAGAAAGATAGAGTTAATCGCCAACTGAAAAAAACTTAAGTCAGTCAAATGAGAAAAATGGAAGGAAATAGAAAGAGAGAGAGAGAGAGAGAGAGAGAGAGAGAGTGAGAGAGAGAGAGAGAGAGAATGAAGAAAGACAAAGAAATAAAGAAAAAAAAAGAAAGAAAGAAAAAAGAAAGAAAGAAAGAAAGGAATCAATCAACCAAGAAAGAGTCCAATTTTCCTTTCTTTCTATTTGGACTCTTGTCTGACGATAAATCGTAGTCAGAAGATAAGTCTTTGTGGCCAAGCTCATGGCAAGTAAGCAAATCCTTGTCTTTTGGAAGATTGGTGGTACACAATCTTCCTACATTTATTTCAGTCCAGCGTCGTGATCAAAATAGTTACGGACATCACAGCAAGGTCGGGCGTCCCAAACGATGTGTAAAAAATCCGGATTTCAAATTTGCTTTTCAAAGCAGACAAAGAAACATATATCTTGATGTCCTGTATAACACAACCTCGCGAGAACTCTTTTTCACGCCTCATTTGACCTTGTGGCATACGCAAGGGAGAAGTAGTAGGAAATAGGAAGGAGTAGATAAAGCACATTCAAAAGAATAAGAAGGGGGAGGATAAGAAGAATAAAGTGGGAGAGGGAAGAATAAGTATGACGAGGAGAAGAAGACGAAGAAGAAGATAGGAAGGAAGGGAGGATGAGGAGGTGTAGGAAATGGGAAGAAGTAAATTCAAAGGAATAAGAAGTGGAGGAGAAGAAGAAGAAGGTAGGAGAGGGAAATATAAGAATGAGGGAGAGAAGAAGAGGAAAAAGAAGAAGAAGATAGAAAGAAAGGGAGGAGGATGAGGAGGAGGTGTTGGAAATGGGAAGAAGTAAAAAGTCAAAGGAATGAGAAGTAGGGGAGAGTAAGAATAAGGTGGGAGAGGAAAGTATAAGAATGAAGGGAGAAGGAGAATAAGAATATGAAGGAGAAGCAAATGTAGTAGTAGTAGTAGTAGTAGTAGTAGTAGAAGAAGAAGAAGAAGAAGAAGAAGAAAAAAGAAGAAGCAACAGAAGCATTGATGGGTGTCTAAGGCTGGGCTT